TTACCCGTCCGTCCCATACCTTGCCTGGTATACATGTTTGGTATCCATACTCCATGACTTAGATTAACAATTGAAAGCTATGCACATGTAGATCATAAAGTACCACCAATCTGTTTTCTTCAGTGTCATGATGTTTGTTATGCTGGCCTACTACACTGTTAGAATATTCACTCCAAAATTTACTTTAGGTAAGACAATGAGTTTCATAAAAGCAAAAAGTATTCAAGAACAGGAAAAACGGCGATTCAAGTTTCCTCTGACATCTATCTTACAATCACAAAAATGCATACTTTTTCCTCATTCTTAGTTATTCTGAGAAGCTACATTTAGGTGTTTAGGTCTTTGCCGGCACATTATGCAAGACTGGGCACATAACACAAATAGGAGAGAAATCTGTACAATCAACAAGTAATACAATGACATCAAGCTTTGATTGCATGTGTGCTTTCCTATGGCAGCAGTGGAACACAATCTAACCAGGTCCCGTTGGAAAGTGCAACTGGAAACAAAGTGTGACATCATCTATGCCCCACTTCAAATAATAGTTCAGTGTTTTTTCTTACAGTTTATATCTTGAAGCATGAGTTTCTTGACCCTGTCCATGTCCTCTGTCTCAAAGTTGACATTGATGCTCTCAGCAATGTGACTGACACTGTACTCTAGTTCTGGTCTCGTATCCTGCAGTTATAACATGGTTAATAAGAAAGCCATTTTTTTTTTACTTTTAGACAAACAGACAAATAGCTAACAGTGAATGTAAAAAACACATGGTTATTGCTAAGCAATAAGTTGGACAAATCAATTACCACAGGGCTTGGATCATACATGTACTAGATGAGGTTCATGTACATGTACATGTACCTACTGTATTAGTATTGCACACGGGGTACTAGACGCATTGCTGTGGTTCCATTTAATATTTATTATAACAAAAGTAAATGAAATTTTATGAACAAATAATAACTAATTAAGGACACAACCTACTGGATGTTTCCCATGGGATCCTTTGCTTTTCTGATCAAAACCTTGATACATTATATACCCTATTTATCATGATTCTGAGAGGCTTATACAAAATCTATGCAGGTTCTGCCGTAATGTGAATTTTTCTTTGCAGTGATGGGCCTAACTATATGCAGCTAGCTCTTTAAAAATTAATTGGCTATTTAATACACAAGTCATAGAGCCCCATATAGGCTAAAATTACATTAAACAATTACAATAAAAATTACAATAATGATCAACTTCTTCGTGTTCTCCTTTCTTGAGCTCTCTGCACTGGCACCACTATCTGGCACAGTCGGCCCTCCATCGATCCAATTCTGCAAGGTCACCGTTGTCACATTTTTCACAGACGGGAATTTCATTCGGAGTCCCTGAATAGTAGTCCTCATAGCCAAGGAGGTGCTCTGACTATAGAGCAAGGAAGAAGGCTCTGTGCTCTGACTCATAGCGCACATTTACCGTCAAAGCCCTAAATCCTTCAATTTGCACACATTCACAGAGGGAAAACTGCACGTAACCTTACGTACGATGCATGCACAAATGCATGTCATGCCATTTCATGTCGAGGTAGGACTTCAACTTCATTGCCTGGTCATATCAGAAGAACCCCTGTACAGGTAGTGACAATATATAGCTAACGTTTGTTTGGTTGTTTTTGCCAATGTGTTAACACTTAACTCCCGCTGCTTAATTAAGCCGTGTCATGTCCCTGATGTCACGATCTAGACCTTTCTGTTCCTTTCTCACTGTTATAACAGGTCTAACGTAGACCATAGAGCGTAGACCATCCTTCCTCAGCTAATTCTGCACTAGATGAGTGGGTTGACCCCTTCCTCTATGACCGGACCGTACTCTAAATTTAGTCGACGGAAGCCGAGTCGCCCACGGAGGATTACGTAAGCGCAGCGCAGCTGGATTGAAAATTCGCAATCCCGTGGATTGAAATTACAGTTTGCAAAATATTGGGCGCTTATGGGCTTTCGTACAAACTACGAAGGCTTATTTACGACGCATAAAAAAATAAATAAATGGATTTTGCAATTGTGTCACAAAACACTTCCGTCGCGTAGGCGCCAGACATCCACTTGAAAAGAGACAAAACGGGCTCAAATGAGCTTACAGTTACGGCAAGTGAGTAATTCAGACACTTGGGTCTTGGCCACGCGTTTGCAAAAGGCAAAGACCCCTTTTCCTATTATCCATGGTAAACCCGTGTCGCAGACGCAAGCAGGCAAAACTAACGCGGAACATTTTTTTTGCTGTCTTATTTTGGGTGGCAGGGTAGCTTTATCAGTCATCAACCGACTGCTATCGAAGGGCCCTGTGTTGTTACAGGTAAATAAGCTACAACCAGATATAAAAATTAACAAAGGGGTAATAACGGACTAAGACATACTAGAGGGGTCACGGTATTTATAATACGGGCAATTCACAATAACGGCTCTTTCCAGGCAAGAATTTGCAACGCGTTGGCCAATCACTATGCGCGAAATCTGTTCACCCAACTTGAAGTTTGGAAAGGGTCGACAGATTTCGCGCGTTGTCATTTGTCATTGTGAATCGCCCGATAACAGTAGGGCCTACATGTACATGTATGTATAACATATATAAATACATATCATTTTACATATACAAGTACAGTTAGTCTAGAGTTATCAGGAACAGAGATTAATAATATGACTTTAAAATACTGAAGGATTTGGCTTTCCTTTGTTCAGCCCACAGTTCCTAAATATTGAAAAGTGCGGTTACCATTGTTACTGTTGGGAGTATATTTACCATGTTGAGCACGTAAGAGGACAGACTAATTTATTACAAAGATAACCGGGTGCTACGTTATTACGACATTTGAAAACCTCACTGCACAATCTGTGGAGTTTCCAACGTGTAGGCCTATACATGGTCATTCCATGAAAGTGCTTGATGTAATTATCAGTAATACGTGTTTTTGAGCCTTTATCTAAAATAAGCCTAGCTAAGCAGTTGTGTAATTTAATAAGACTATCTAACAAGCCAGCGCCGCACTAGAAGACCAGGCGACATTGCAATAATCAAACAGTGGAATGCCCATAGCAGTGCTCAGTAACTTAAACACTTTAAATGGTAGAACAGTTACTCGGACACTGTACCTCACTGGAGGCACTTAAAAGATCCGCGTTCTGAAAGGAAGGATTTTGTGGAATGGTCGTATTCCTAAAGGGCGCTAAGGGGGTTAAGTTTAACATTTCTCCCAATGAAGAGTAAGTTTATACGAACCAAAAATTTTTATTATAATTTATTATGGGCTTTGCTCACCCGGAACAAAGGCGTTTATGGTAGGCCTATTCCCAAAGTCGAGGAAAATGGTTCAAGGTTTTTTGTTAACTTTGAAAGTGCTGCATGACCTGCTGCAAATAACTGGAGCTTCAATGAATCCTAATATTGAACTGAATTGAAACTAAATTAACTGAAGAGTTTTCAAAACAATGATAGATAAATCCACATGATGTGTGATCATCCAAGTTTATCGATGCCTTACTTTAAGACCTTTAACAGAGAGGACTGCTGCACGTTGGCAAAGGCAGTTATAGGGCAGGAAACCCAAAGGGACCCCCTTCGCTTGGAGTTTTGCTTTGCTTTTCCCGCGTCCCAAAATTTTGTTAGCACCCGTAGAACCATAGCCGCATCCAGTCAGTACTTCATTCGCGGCATTTGGCAGCGAGGCTTGTTTGGCAGAGATTTTACTGGGGGGTCTGTCGACCTCTCCCCCAGGTTGTGCATGCAGGCTTTGGCCCTGGTATATATCGTGATGTAGAAAACAAGAAATTCATTGCCTAGTGAAATGGTTGAAATTTCGTAGATTGCATCTTGGGATGAACACTTTTGATACATGTGTATAGGTTGTGCCCACTGCAAGATTTCAAATGGGGGAGCCTGTTGGGGAGGGGTGGGGGAAGCACAGCTATCCACTGCAACCCACCTGCAGTTGTAACTAACTTGGTTGACGGAACTGAAAGCAATGAACTGTGTTTTTGGCTTGTACGTAGGTTATGTAACTTTCAAAATGTTTATTTCGGGGCGTCCTCCCCCATAGTTGTTACACCCACAAACATGGGTGTATTTTGTCTGTGGTTACACCAGTCACGTGGCCTACTACATGATGGATGTGGCCGGGCGCGCTCGAGCCGCCCTCGCCGAGGCTAAAATTGCCAGATCACAATTTGTATGCACTCAAATTCTCTACGAAATAGAGCATTTTGTGGCCAATGAACTTGAAAAGTTGTAGAAAAGACAGGTTTAGGCTTGCAAAAAGAATACTAGCTTGCGTCTGAGTGAGATTTGGAAGAAATCGTTGCCTGAGTTCGTTCTCTTTTTCGAGAGGTATAGGCATCGATATTTTGGGCGAGTGGCTTCAGGACTGCATTTTAGGGATGACTTTCCGTGGAAATAAATATCCTCAGAAGTCATCGGTTTAAATTTGAAAAGAAATGAAAAATCATAAACTGGGCTTTAGCTTGATATGCATCTCAAATGCCTGAGAAACTCGTGAATATTTTTCCTAATTTTTTGAAGTTCGGGTTTTTATCACTGTTGGCTGTGGCAGTTTACTGGCATATGCAACCGTATAGTAGCTAGACTGTCAGACAAAAAATAAGCTAGCTACAGAGGGCGGGCATTACATTTAATTTTTGGGTCTAAGTTGTAAAAGCAAACGAAAAAGCGACGAAATGGAATTCCAGGTTCGTTCTTGCTTTCTGCCAACTATGGCACTTTTTATCTTTCTGATTTTCATGAGCCTGTGTACACAGAAGGCAGAGACGTCTGTATCGGATACTTGGGAAAGTCTGAAGAATTCCGATGCCGTTCAGCAAGCACGAAAGGTAACAATAATTATATTACAACATGTACAAAGACAAAGTCAATCATGTAAACTGGTCAAAGGCACGTGATGCACGTGCACTAAAATGCGGGTGATGCACGATGTGTACAAATGTATGGTATGTGTGCATCACGCCCTGTGGGTCTTACTTATCAGTAATTAGTCTAATTTTTAACGTGTCTTACTGGACCTACTGTTTTTGGTTTAGTTCTGTAATTTGTAACACTGTCTGTGTATTTTAGGCAATAGGTGTGCTATATGTTATGTAATATTAATTAATACGGTACTGGAGAATCCTGCTTGACAAGCCTTTGCTTCTTCAAGTTCTTGGGACCCCCATGGAGGAAGGACACGACCCCCCCATCCACATTTATTTATTTTTTCAAGACATATTGTAATGGAGGTTTACACAGTCACTTCGCCCCATTTCCGCGTCGCCCCTCACCACTTTGTCCCTACTAACCACTTCGCCCCATCCCCACATCGCCATTTCGCCCCATCCCCACATCGTCCCATCCCCACTTAGGAAAACCTAAAATTAAACTGATGAACACAGAAAATACACACATTGACAAAAAACTAAAAATTAACGTGAAGAAATAATCAATCAATCAATTGGTCGGTTGATTGATTGATTGATTGTCAACATCAACACGTAGTAATGTCAACACCTTCAAAAAACCTTTTACCTGTAAATCAACCATCGAGGTACTTCCTGAACGGTAAGATACTACTTACCGTTCGGGAAGTACCATAGAGGTAGGTCTAGAATTAACCCCACAAATAGGGCTGTAGTGGATCTCTTTTACAATCTGTCTCTTATCTGTCGCCATCACAGCCCTACTTCAAGGCATGTCTTAAATGCCTGAAATCCAAACTGCAGGATTGTCACAAACTTTGAATCCCAATATCTTCCGAAATGAGAATGACTCGACAATTTTACTTACACCAGCGTATTCCTCAGCGTTTGGACTTTTATATGAGCACCCTCAAGCTTTCCCAAATCGTATATTTTTCGACGTATGGTGCCTTGGAAAGTGGGCCTATGATATTTCTATGCTGACCATGGGCGGCGCCATTTTGAAAAACAAAAGCCGCACTTCTTGCACCGGAAGTCAAGGCACCCGACAGGTGCTGTAGATGCATAATTCATGTTGTCACTGTATTGCTTAGTAGAAAGTTGCGTGCGCACTTTGCTAGTGTACAGTACGCCCACAGTACATGTGTGCATATTAATGTTATTTAAATTTAATTTCACTGGTTCCTTGTTCGTCTGTCACGCAAGGTGTGAAGGGGAACCAGTTTTGTATGGTACAGTGTATACCGAAGTGCCTGTCGGGTGCCTTGAAATCTGACGCAAGAAGCGCTGCATTTGTTTGTTAAAATGGTGCTGCCCATGGAAACGTGTCAAATGTCGTTCACAAGTGCCTTGTATCCCAAATTCCATAAATGCAGTGTTGAAATTACTAAATATGCCTGCGGACAGCATATTTTGCAGGAAATTTAGCACAACTCCTCACTTTCCATTGTGATTCACAAACGATCTACGTTCATCTAAATACATGTTTGCGCATGTGCGAAACGGCCTTCATTGCAATAAACCTTGACCCACATTCTGTCAGCTAGTTATGTTCCAAAGATATGTAACACAAATCTGCTGCAAGCTGCTTGCTGACTACAATGACCTAAAATACAAATCTCAAAATAATCTCAAAATGAGTAGTTTCCCTCATGGATGTTCAGGCCATGGGGTTGTATATAATTAACACTCTTTTCTTTCCCTCTTTTCTGTTGGCAGATTATACCCCCCCCCACTTGGGGTCCAGTTCCATCCATTGTATTTTTTCTTTGATCTCTTCCCCCCTTACATTCCTTTGTTGTTTAACCATGGCTTTCATGCACTCCCCTTTATCCTTTGCCCCTTTATCCAGCCTGCAGCTTTCTTGACCTTTTCTCCTGTCGTCTTGTGTTCATCCATGCTTGGTTGATTCTTTGTTCGCATGTTTGTCCTTTCCACTTGTTATTTTGCCTTTGAGAAAGATTCTGCTTGGATCAAAACGTCAGACCCTCCATATTATGAGCTAGTTAAGTTGTCTAGAGCTAGGTCAAGGTCTTCACTCCATTGGAAATGTGCGGAGACGCACGGACAACAGACCTAGCCATAGCCCTGGAAGCCCATTTCAGACACAGCCTTATCTGTGGCTTCTTCACACCTACAGGTCTTCCATACATGTGTAAGGGGCGGTAGGTTGCTATGCATTTCGCACATGTGCAAAGGCATACTACGGTACTACATATAGATGAACATAGAACAGTCATGACGGAAAGCATGGAGTTGCGCTAAATTTCCTGCAAAGTACTTCATCTGCACTTAGTAATTTCAACACAGCATCCATGGAATTCAGGATACAAGGCACTTGTGAATGATATTTGAGCAGCCTCCGCCAGGTACAAACGTGAGGGAAAAACATTGAAAAAAAATTCACATTTTAGGAGGACTTTTGTACTCTAGACGTCAGTCATAGTGTAAATGAAAAGTAAAAACCTCATGAAAGACTTTTTGGGAAAAAGTGTGCCCCTGTATGTTCCAGTCAGTCCCTGACAGATTCACACGTAACACGCTTTGTTATGCTAGGTTATCATATAATATCCCCACCCCTTTATTGTAATGGTATGGTCCGAGCTGCTCCCAAGGTAACAAGGCTGCTAATTTCGGAGCTGTTCGGAGGAGGCTGTTTTTGTGAACTAAAAAGTGGTTAAGCCAAAATGTTCTTTTAACAAATAGTTCTCAGTGAAATACTGCATCTTTCGATTTAGAACATGTGTTTTAGAAGTGTGTATTTGCAATGGGTTTACTTGCTCCTGCGCCTCAGTTGTGGGGACATACATGTGCACTTGTCATTTCACCTATTTTGGGGGGACAGAAAACGTTGGGGACACAAAAATACCCCCACAATTTGGTTCAAATTTCCCCAACAAAAGAACTTGTCCCCTGAACGCGGTGAATGCCTACCGACGTACACTGTCCGTGTTGATGGTAATCAGTATGACACGCCCTGCATGCTTGAGAAACCCTGCCATGCCCTTGCAGAGCTACGTGTACAGGTAGCTATTACTTCATCACAGTCACTTTTGAGAAAATATGCGAAAATTTGTGCCATTGTCACTGTCGTGACTGTCGTCATGTAGAGTAGGCCTACCTTAAATTCGCTTACAGGCCTACAAATATTTGCATATATCTGACTTTCTCTTGTATTGAGTTATTGTTGATAATCGTCACATCAGCTTTTTTTCCTCTTAGCAGGTATGTGCAAATCAGAAGTTTAAGCAGATAGGCCTCTTAGTTACGCAAATCAATTGTCTTACTTATTTTCTCATCACCAATTTTGCATAGTTTGTTTGAAAAGAATGTAACTTAATGTGTAACTGTTCCTTGAAATTGAATTGAAAATACTACAGGAGAGAAAGTCAAGATATAGTGAAGAATAGTATTTTCTTTTCAAAGTTCATGGCCAATCCCAAGTTATAAATGCACCAATTATTGGTTCCCAGTTCAAGAGGCTGCAAGACACAGAATTATCAGATGTATGTACATTGCAGCTGAAACCCTTTAAAAATGACATTTACAGTTTGTGTGAGAATTACGGTGATGTCAGCTTTACTGTAACCGATCTGACTCGACTGCAGATGATGGTGTTCTTGTTGCTTTGATGGCATCCTGCTGTCTTCAACACATTATTCCACTTAGTATTTTAGTCAAACTTTCAACTTAAAAAGTGAAGCCATGGTCTATTTAAGAACAAACGGTGCGTAAATTATGGTGGCTCATGGATTGTGAGGCCACTTTATTTAATTTTTTTTGTTAACTGCAGTCATCCCCATGCTACCAATAACTTCACAGTTGTTTTTTTTTTTTCAGGAATGGTCTCGTGCAAGGACTAAAACACAAAGCTTCATCAACAAGGTATCAAATGGGAAACTTGCAGAAGACATCACCACTTACATTGATAACACTCTGATGAAGCTGTTTAGTATCAGAGGTATGGAAAATCTTGCAAAATGTTTCAGGCCCCTGAGCTGGTCCCTCATTGTTTTCTGCTGTCCTGCCCTTGGTGAATCATGGACCCTTCATGTGTTAAGAAACTCACACTAATTCCCACACCTCCCATACCGATTCTCACACCTCCCATACCGATTCCCACACCTCCCATACTGACTCCCATGCCTCCTATATCAGTTCCCACACCTCCCATACCAATTGCCATGTCTCCTATACCGATTCCCATGCCTCCCATACCAATTCCCACACCTCCCATACCGATTCCCATGCCTCCCATACCCATTCCCACGCCTCCCATACCGATTCCCATGCCTCCTATACCAATTCCCATGCCTCCTATACCAATTCCCATGCATCCCATACCAATTCCCATGCCTCCCATACCAATGCCCACAACTCCCATACCAATTCCCATGCCTCCCATACCAAGTCCCACGCCTCCCATACCGATTCCCACACCTCCAATACCAGTTCCCACATCTCCCATACCAATTCCCAGCCCTCCCATACCGATTCCCACGCCTCCCATACCGATTCCCACACCTCCAATACCAGTTCCCACATCTCCCATACCAATTCCCAGCCCTCCCATACCAATTCCCAGCCCTCCCATACCGATTCCCACGCCTCCCATACCGATTCCCACGTCTCCCATACCGATTCCCACGCCTCCCATACCGATTCCCATGCCTCTCAAACTGACAACTGTTGTTTCCGTATGGATACCCAACAGAAGACCCCAGTTTAATGGAAATACAGCCCATTGTTATCGCTGTGGTAATCAAACCTTACACTTTGAATATATGGTCGCCCTTCCTTCCTGCCTCCACACCTCAGTGAGTGAACTGCAGAAGACACTGAAGAAAGCCCAGCAGACCTGGCTGGGGCCGGCCCTCATGGGCCTCTGGCTTCTCCTGGGTTATGTCACCCTCAAGCTGACCTCCTGCACCACTTTCCTGGTTGTCATGTCAACCACTGTCCTGATCCACTCCATCTATGGCTCTGTGGTCGTCTTCACCCAGGTGGTTGTATTTATCGGTGAGTTTCATTTCCTGGTTGGAGGGTGTGCACTGAATTTCGAGCCTGTTTTTCTTCTTGAGATTTTCCATCTCTAACAGATGGGCCAAAAAATGTGTGAATGTGGGCTATTGATCTCTGCTCACTCCAGACACCAGTGCCTAGGAGTCATGACAAATCCTTGCACTTTAAACTTGCCAAATTTTGTCAAGCCTCAAGTCAAGTAATGGTGACTGGCTGTACATTTCTTAGTCCTCTTCCCAAAACAAAGACCTGATGGGCCTCACAGGAAGCAAGAGGTGATTGAATAATGAACAAGTTTGAACCAACCTGACAAAAATGACTTGGAAGTTGTCAGAGCCACTTTTGAGCCCATAACTTTTTGTCCACATATTGTGCATTTTTACCATGATGGCAAGTGGACAGATAAATCAGAAGATGGAACTGGGTCATTCCATGAGGTTAGGGCATAATTTGTGACGGTGCCCATTGTTATGTTGGTTCCCTGCGTGTGGATTCCAAATTGACATTGTTATAAATACATCTTGCAAGGCTGAATGCAGAGGGGTGTGTTATTTTTACAGAGTAAATGACCTACTCTACAGGTCATGACAGCTGGTAAAAGTTACCCATGTAACAAGGACACCATCACAAATTGTGCCCCAACCTCATGGAATGACCCAACTCAGTAATTCTTTCTAACGTAGTAACCAATGGGTTAATGAAAAAATTGCGTCTGAGAGTGCCATCTTGACTGCCTGATGTTTTTCTGCATTTCCTTTCACCACAGGTCTGTGCATGTACATCGCCTCACTAATAGCTAACAATGTTGTCCTCTGTGCTGTCACCATTCTCACCTTCTACGTGTCCTACTCTGTCTTTGGGGTGTGTCGCCGGCCGTATTCACAGGGCGTGCTCTATGACCTGGAGGACCGGGTCACCGACCTCAGCCAGAGGACGGCAGGCATGGAGAGCAAGATGGTGGGCCTGGAGCAGAAAATTGACCTCCTGCTGGAGGGTCGAGAGTGATATCCATAGCGGACTCTCTGTTCTAGATCGCTGATGAATTAATTTCAGAACTTCATTTCTTGTACATTTTTGATGGTGTGGATACTCAGCGATGGTCATTGTGTGTAGTGGTCCTGTATACTGAATTTGTGTTTAAACTTCTTGAAAAGTGGTTATGATCACAGTTTTATTTGCTTCAAATCGTGTCACAGTACCAAACGAAAGGTGATATTCAGTTATCATGATGTTGTATTTGTTTTTTTTCCCATTCGTGGCATCTTTAAACATACAGTACTGGAAATGCTTTGAATGAAACATGAAAGCACTGTGTCAAATAATCACAAATGCAGATCAAAGAAATTTCTTTTAAGAGAACCAGTGGAGTTTGGGTGCATTTTCTGTGTTGCATAATTGTCATGCCTTTTAATCCCTTAGTGCTTTCTTTAACTTTTGGAAAGAAATTGGGATTTTTAATCATGTTTTTGGCTTTTCAGAAAACATGTCAGGCTTTGGTGCCAGGACAATACTATCCACAAATCTTGCCAGTTTTAAAGATGCATTTTGGATTTTCCAGTTTTGTTGCAAAAATACATAAAGATCAGATCTGTTTCTGTATTCACCTGATGAAGGCACTCCAGTTATTTTGGGTTTGAACCCTGGATATTTTAAATGTTGCATGTGATTTGTATATTTATGGTGTTTGTCATATTTGTCAATAGATTTGTTTGAATGGAAAGATCAGATTTCTCCAGTTTTGAAAAGTGTAATACTGTTTGTAGAGTTACATACTTGACCTGACCTGAAAAAATCTAACTTAGAATGCCATCCATGACCTCATGCTTTCGAAATACATGTACACGAGGCTCATTTTTTTTTCGAAATTGTTGAAAATTAGTATTAGCACTGTGATTGCAACTTTAATAGTGTTTAGGAATTAAACAAATTTGTTACACAAAACCAACAATAATGACAATGCAGAACGATTTCCTTTTTTGAGTTTAATAAATTCAAAATCTGGATGGAATATTATACAAAAGCTGGCAATGAAACCAACCATTTCATATCTGCCGTTTCTTTCATCTGTACAAGTTTCTGTTTATTTTTAAGGACTCATCATAAAAGTAAAATTTTGCAAAGCAGGAGAGCAACTGTAAAACCGCAATTTGGAGATAAAAGTAATTCATATTTATTTGCAAGGCACAAGATACGAGGTAAGTCACGTACATTGAATTTAAAAAACTAGTAAATTTTCCTCTGTGATTTGGAAAAAATTAAGAAAACCTGTATTACACCTGTCCAAAAATTTATACATTTGTACAAGTTTGATTCCGACAGTTAATTATTGCTTACGTCAGTTCATCTCGCCTTACAGTGACACAGGATTTCACTCTGCTGTTTTGCTCCTGAAGACCTGTTTTTAACCCAAGTGCAAATACACCCAGTTTCAGACAACTTCACATATTTAACATTAGCTTCTAGTTACATTATAACCAAGTATACTATTTTATTGTTCCCAATTAAATAAAACATGACGCATGCCCTTGAATTAGAAATCTACTTACATAGTATCCTGCTCAGCACAGTTTGACAGATTAGCGTAAACAACTAGTGTAATTTATCAATGTGGACTTTCACAAATCCTATAATGTATATACTTCTGAAGTAAGAAGCAGTTTGCACTGTGAATTATCCATGTCAAAAGGGCTTCCTTGTCTTACTGGAATAAAGTGCTTAAGAAAACAAGACGCTGTGAACAACTTGATGCCAGGCTTGATCCCCTAACAACCCCCCCAGCATGTAAGATAACATCTCAATGGCTGCAGCCTGGTTTACATCTCGACAGCCCCGCCCTCGTAATTGTCGGCGGAGGCAGGCGGAGTGACGATGCTGGGCTTGTGCGACTCCTGCATCTTGCTGGTGTGCTCCAGGAGGGACAGGCAGACAAAGGCCCAGTTGTACAGGTTCTGGGCTGGCAGGGAGCCATGCTTGGCTACAGCGCCGTGGGGCACATCTGGAGCCAGAGAAGGAAATAAGTGAAAAATTAATGAAACCAGATTTATTAACCCTACCCTGGGTCTATAAAAATATATGAATATACCAAAATTAACCCTAACAGTCCTCAATCCTTCACCTGTTGGAGGACTGAGGACTGTTAGGGTTAAGAATGATTGGGATGAAATGCTTTCGTACTGACAGTCATGCTGATTTCTAATTGTCTATAACCTTCATTCCAATAAACAAGCTCTAGTTTAAGTGGCATCTTAACTTTGCTCCATGATTGTGAATACATGCTTTCTTTTCAACTGACGTGGCTGCCTTTACCCCAGGGACTACAGGCCAATTTAAGCATTACAACAATGTACTCTCTGGGGTAGCCCCCCTGTAATGACTGAGTAATGGAACCGCTGTTAAAGAGAAAACTCACAGGTAATTGTTTTGCACAAAAGCTAACACAGTGTTTACCCCATTACTAGGGGTATTCTCCAGAGTGGATGGTGATCTCATGCTATGCAGTTGCATATTAAGCCTGATCTATGCAATCTATGAATGCGGGTCTGGTGTAATGGGCTAGTTTACACTCCGTTTAGAAATATCCGACTTCACTTCCCCTTTTCAAACAATTTTCCAAGGATGCAGCACAATTGACTGACAGTGCAGAGCAATCAATTGATAGCATAAATCCACTGGTTCCAATTTTATATAAGGTCGTTAAATTATCAGTGTGCAAGTAGTTGGATCAACCTGTAAGAGGAAATCTGCGCTAAACTGGGGTGAAAATACTGGCTTTGTTACCTTTCAGTCTGGAAGAGATCTTACTGACAGCACTGACGGTGTCAGATGCTGTGGGATCAAAATCTTCAATCTTCCTGATCAGTTCCTGATTGACAAACTGCAGATTGACGGGAGGGAAAGCAGACAGGAAAACTATGCAACAAGGCTTGAAGGAGAAATCCTTTCGTAGTTTTTCATTGGGTAAGCACTGAAACTAGTTTGCTGACAGTGTTCTGGTAACAATTTTGAATGGAAATTAGGTTCTGGTTTATAGGCCTTTTATAATGGATGCAAACTTCTTATGCTGAAGCCCTGCACTACAAATGACATCCAAAGCTCTTTGAAAAAGGTTTGAACAGGAAAAAGTTTGTAAACACTCATTCCTCTACTATTGTGTATTGCATTGAAATATACATATTAAGTTAAATGCCATTGCAAAATAACAATTCCTTTAACACCTGCATTACATTTCTGCTTTTAGTAGGAAATAACATGCCTTGTATTGGTGTTGAACACAAAAAGGGAGATGGAGGTGTCTGTACAGAATAAAATCCTCAAAAGTGCCAGTCTGCTTTGTTTGTGACAGACCCGAGTACAACCAAAGTAGTGTTGTAGTCAAGGCTGTCACATGACCAGAAACAGGTGACAGAGTGGTGATTGACAAAGGAATGCTATTGTTACAGTTCATTGAATAGCTTGTGCCAGTATTGAAGTCGAGACCATCACAAGATCATGCACAATACATGCACAATACAGTCAAAAGTAGCAGAGTGAACAATGACAAAGGAATGCTTGTATAGCAGCTCATTTGAATAGCTTGAGACTTGAATTCAGACTGGAGGTCTTGTGATGGTCATGTTGGGTTCAGTGATCATAGGACACTAACCTGCTTGCAAGTGTTCCACGATTCCAGGTCCCCTTCATCCGCCTTGTCCTGGTAAAAGAGCGTCAGTACCGACACCAGGATGTCGTGGATGACCTTGGGCGGGTCCTTGTAGCTCTTGAGCTCGGCGAAGGCCCGAGTGTTGAGCTTGCCCACCGTCTCGCGGAGGTCCGTTAGCATGATGCGGTCAAACATGATGTCGATGCGCGACTCCTCGCTCCCCTTCTCTGCCTCTGAAGTGGAACGAATGCAAAGGAATTTTCAGATGAATCTTCAGGCCCTGAAGACACTGTGTTCAAAATTCAACCAGTCAACATCTGTTGGTACAAGCTGGCACACATGGTTCTCACCAAGTACAATGGTCCGGTCTCCGCCCTCTGACTCCATGGACACCTCCTTGTGGGCGGCTTGCAGAAGCTTCAGCATCCTCTGCACCTCCTTGTTCTCGTGGCCAGGGAGCTGCTTCAGCTCGCCGATGCTCAGGTCAATCAGGGCCACGGCTCGGCCATCCGGGTCGCGCAGCGGGAAGGCGGTGTGGCGCTGGCCGTAGGCATCTGCTGTCACGGTGTCCGAGTTGTCCACGCACTTGAAAAGGTAGTCCCTTCAATGCAAAAGACACTTTCATTTGTGATGTTATCTTATGACGAGGCAACTATATTAGCGAAGATTTTAATGAGAACGTTGCATTGAGAAAGATACCACACCATTGGTCCTCCAATACAAAATCCAGGACACCTGGCTTATCATATCCGCACATGACCATTTTGAATCTAGTTCAATAAAAAAATTCACTTTTATTTATTCACTTACATCCAGCAGTGCACAGTCCAAATCTACAAAAATATCATTGAAAACCCATTTCTCTTGATGTCAGTTTTTATTCACATCCACAGAGAATCCACCAGATCTAACAACCAAGCAGCTTCTACTAAGAAACCATGTCCTCTAAAATCCACAGAGAATTGACTGAACCACTTTCTCATGGCTGACAATTCACTCAGAGCTCTTCCACCAAGAATCCTTTTTCCAGAATTTGAATAGTCCCAATGTGGATTTCTTTTCAGGAGTTATGGCCACACTCGCTGTGAACTTCTGGGAAAAATATTTGAATGAATTTTGCTAAGTCTCAACGATGATACCTGAATAGGTTCTCCTTTCTTTCCAGCTTGGATGGGTTCTCGTGGATAGTGATGTTGCCATGACGATCTGTAGTCATCATTCGTCTCAAGACGATATCTTCCATCTAAAGCATACAGTGAGTAGTTGTGTAAGTTACAAGAGGTAAAAATCCATGAGAAAATAAACAGCCATGCAAAACTTCATGCAGCAACAAAGTGAAAAATAACGAAGACAGGGTTATGAGTGTTAGTATTTGTGAGTAAACTAAAGAAAATCACTCGGTGCAGATGGTAGGAACTACAGAAGAGCAGGTATTAACAAGCAAATTGAAAATGAATTTTCGAAAGAGCAAAAGATAAAGTTGAGTGTAGGTTTCAGAAACTTATAAGGAGCTCACAAGTTACAAGGAGTTCTGTATTCCCAAGTTAAATGACTCCCCGAAATTTCTTTCCTTTGGGGAGCAGAATAATTTGACAAGCAATCTTTGACTATTTTCAGTTATTACGCGCCATCAAACAGACCATATTTCACAAATCTTTCTAAGATAGAAAAGAAATTTATGGTAATCTAGATGTGTCCCTGGTTCCCAACTGTGGACGGTGCATCATGTTGTCAGCGACAGCTAACCTGTTTGGTTGACTCTTCGCTCTGATAACTCTGAATTTTTTTGCTTTTGCCGGTTACTCTCCTCCGCCGGATAGCAGCGTTAACCTCCTGATAAATGGCACCCCCAGGCACATGCACACAACACGGCACACAGAGGAGTAAACCAAGCCGACCCAAGGGGGGAGAGGAAGGAGGGATACACACCATGGGTTAGAAACACAGAGGTGCACCAAAAGGGAACCATGCAAAAAGAAAGAAGAGCAGTCATAGAGGGAGCAAGTAACAGAGAACCATTTTCCAAATGATCACAGCGTTGCTAATTCAGGAACCTTTTTGAAAACCTTTCCCGGTGTGAGGGTAGCCTCGAACCAGAAAATAGCAAAGGGTTTCTGAGCAGAGGCGTAAGCAGACAGCTTGACTGGCATGCTCTGACCTTCCATGCCTCTGCAAATCATTGGCCGGTTGTGCATTCACGTGAGGTAAAGCACTGATTCACTTTCTGGTAAGTGTGTCAACAACAATGTTTTTACACTCTGTCCCCATGGAACAGCAGTGTAGCTAGCAACATCCAAATGAATACTGGAATGTCAATTTGGCTTACTGGACACCAGTCAATTAAAGTAAAGATTGATTAGGTTTTTGATCAATCTGTGACTGTCTGTGATCAGTCAGAAAATGCTAGGTGTTAGTAAACGCAGTGCATGCTAGCAATAGCTATATGACACCACCACCACGAACAAGATCTCTTTCTATAACAATGACACAAGCTACTTGGTATGATTAAAGTTAAGGCCACAAATTTGATTTAAGGAACACAATCTCTCTGGACATGAAATGGGTGTGAGTGACGTGAAGAGGATGTGCAGATTCAATTTCTCAAATATTTAATCAGCAAACAGGTGGTTGTGCTTTTTACATTAGCTAATAGCCAAAACAGATGTGGGTAAACAGGTGCATTCTGGGAGTAGCTAACACTTTTGGTTTCTTTGCAAATCTCACTATTTTGCAGCTTTCTACTTAGCTAGCCTAACAGCTCACGAAGACAGCCACAAAATGCAAAATGCCAAAGGGTCAACACCGCACGCATCCTCGTTTCCTCAATACCTTCTCGTCCGGTTCAACAATATACACATTGATCTCCAGAACGTGGGGACTCCGCCTGTGAATCCAGGCGAGGGCGCTCTCTGTGATGCGTAGCGTCTTCTTCCGGATGTCCACGTACTGGTGGGCCGTGCTGAAGGCTTTTGCCACTCCCTTCACAAAGATATCACACACACACCCAAAAGAAATCACAAATTTCATTAACTTTACTTGGAATAATTAACAAAATGTTGCATATGAGTCATCCAAGCACTGCAGCCAGCTTGGCAAATACTCAGAAGATACCTCTGACACTCAGCATGCTTGTGGCCAGATATTTAAAATTTGACAAGCTTCAGAGGAGTTCTGCAAAGGTTGCTCTTTTGTCAGAATCTGATTGAAAAATGCTGAAATTTTGGGAGTCAGTTTTTTAGATTGAGCCTACTGGTCAACTTGATTTTCGAATCTTTCACATACTCACCGAAGAGATATTTCTACACAATTACTAACGCAATCTCACCAACTTGGTTTGGTGTTGTTTCAAGCAATGGGTAAAAAACGGAATTGGTTCTGCTCTACCGCTGCACATTCAAAGCTACAAATGTCTTGTGCGGGTGACAGAAAGTCTCCTACGTACTTGGAAGAAGCTGATTTCATGTGTGATGAAGATGCTCTTCTCTTGCGGATCGTTGAGCGTGTCTATACCCAGAACTCCAAACACTCTCTTGCGATGGTCCTTCAGGGGAATCACGATGAACGAACCCTGGCGATCCTGAAGAAATGAAAAGAGGTAAATTGAATTAGTGAGCTCAGTTCTACAAATGCATATAGATAAAATAAAAATTACTCTCAATTTCCTTGAGAGGAGACTACTCATGAACCTCTCCAGGAATGAAACTTGGACTTTAAGCGAGGAAATTCTAAGCTTGACAAGACACTGTACAGTGTTTTTCAGTATTTAATGGAATATGTGCAAAGTGAAAAATGAGGAAATCAGCTGATCTGAGCAGAAGTACCATGCCTGCCTCTCAAGGCTCTGCAGGGAGATGAAACCTTCCTGCTTGAGTTTCCTTGATGTATACATTAACCACTTGCCACCGAGGTTTCTGGTACCGGACACCTAATCTTTATACGCGTGGCCAAGGTCTCCGAAATCGGACAAAGGGAACTCGGCTTTGTAACAAAAGACCGTACTTCTAACAAAAGACCAGGCTACTGGGCCTTACCAACATTTTTTCCCTCTCAATAGTGGAGATAATCCAGCCTTGTTTTGAGACAGTATACTACGGTTTGGGGGATTTAGCGCTATCAGATTACCACTGGGGACAAAAGCGCTCCACCACCGCAGCGATGAGCCACACCGTACTGCTGCACGCTAATCTGGCCCCTATTGAAAAGAGGTCAGCAGCGCACTGTGCCAGTTTCGTGAAGAAAAGAAAATTATGTAACACCGCAAAATCTGGGCTCTTTTTACAAGGCGGCAGGCCTGGCAGAAATACTCCAGCATCAATACATGTTGTCTGTCAGATTAGAGTAGAAACCAGAAAGTTCTACATGTGGGTGTAAGTGTCCAGTAAATGAAGATATGAATTTTTAAAAAAATTTAAAGTTTTAAAGAATTTTTAAATTTTGAAAACAGAAAAAAAAAGATAATTATCCCATCCCAACATCATCAACATTGATAACTGCCACCGGCGTGAAGTGGTTAATTGTCCAGGAAATTTCCTGATTTGGAGTACACTGAGGCATGCCACTACTACGGTGTTTGTTAAGGGGAAGCTCAAGCTCTCTGATTGGGGTTATTCAGTAACTAGAACCATTCCAAGGAATGTCTAATTCAAGTGTGAGTAGACACAAATAGAGTTTCATGCAAAATTGACTAATTTTAAAAAGCTGGATAATGATCAAAATTTTCTTTTAAGTCTGATAAATCGTGCATAGATGTTTGCCACGAGAGTAGCAATGATGGAGCGTGGCCGGGGAATGTTGAAAGCAGAATTATTTCAGGCAAAAATAAGCAATGGGAAAAACCACACAACAAAACAAAAGCACAAAAAAATCAAACTCATATACAATGCACTGTGCATCAACCAGACATTATGAAAATGTCTTTCAGTAGTTTGTCACACAATTTTTTTTGGGGGGGGGGTTAACAGCTCACGTAACAAGGCACTATCTCACTTCCAAAAAGTTTTCATTTTTAACCATCATTCTCCATTGCAGGAAGATAGATTTGGTCTAAAATTTGTGAAATAAATTTCCATTTCTTCCCATATTGTTATACGCCAACCAGAGAAATTGGCTAAGTATAAAAGGAAATATTAAACGAGGAGAAACAGGTTACCAGCCAAAACATGCACTTTCATGATTTTATTCTTCTTGTAACTGGCTCCCAATTAATATTTGCTCAGCTCTAGGAAATCAGGCTCTCGTGTGAAATGCACATCACCAACGTTTGATTGGATGTGTATGAAATCTGAACGCTTGCCTGGGTGGAGGGCACCTGATCCGTGGCAAATGGAAGCATGAACACCCAACTGCCCTTCTGTATTTATAAACAATAAAGTGCTGTGACAGTTTGATGCATCCACCTGAGTAAACCACACTGCTGGCAGTGCAACGGGTAAAAATGAATTAATGATGGGACTCTGCTTAGCAATTTCAGCCACCTCAATCCAGTCAGCAGCAATGTGCATTATGTGAGATCACTACAGCCAAACAGCGGTGTGCATACAATGTTTCAAAACTGCATCACACGTTACTTACTCTAGTCGGGTCATACTCATCAATGGACAGCTTTTTGTATTTCTGATGGTCAGGACCCAGACATGCAATACGGCACACAACAGAATCGTGTCAGAACACAATGAGCAATGTTTGGAAAAACAAATGAAACTGCAGACATCTAAGCCAAAGGAAATCAAGCTGCAGGAAATCCATAGATAATGGTCAACATCCACAGAACACTTCGGAACCCAAATCTTTCACAAAATGACAGCGATGACACATGGCACGCCATAGGAATATCAAGCACTCCAAAGAAAATTCTCTGATTCTAAAACACATATTATGGCTTCAAAGTCATAAACTTTACAATATCAAAAAAGGCTTCATTAAATGATTCATTTCTCAGACATGTAAAGACTGAAACCCAAATCTGACAAATTGATTTACCTGGTGTTTTCTCACAATGTCTCTTTTTAAAGCTTTTTTTTTTCAAGCCTGCACACATCAACAGCTACAAATCTTTGCTCCCCAACAGACATTTTTTCCATCAATGTCAGTTTTAAAATGTCTAAAACTGCTTCCATTCTTTGAGTGTTTGGCACAAACACTTTAATATTCAAACCAGAGATATTTTTTGTTAACTGCCAGCTGTTCAGAATGAGAAAGACAGCGATACTTTAAGCCATGTTTTAACAAGTTACACCTCTTTCTAGAATCAAACAAAAAGGCAATCACACTGTAATTCTTGCACGGACACAGATGGATACCCAAACAATTTGTGGCAATGGGGGGGGGAGGGGCAAAAGGAAGTTGGGGAGGGGGGAGGTGAGGGATGGGACCTACCTCTTCTGATCGGTCAGGATTCCAGAACATGATATTTCCATGATTCTGCACCCTGGGAACGTGGATAGGCTTTCCTGTGTCAACAGCAGTGAAGCTAATATGGGAGAAGACAAAAAAAGGGCAAATTACAAATACTGGGATTACAATGCAGAGACAATCCACGTTCATTAAAATACGGCAACACAATAGGATGTGCAGGTCCCAGAACCCCTTTTTGGTTTGTATTTCTATCTGGTTCATAAGTGTAATGTCACTTTAGTTTAAACCACGCCCGCTGCACATGCACTGCACACAGAGTTACATGCACATGGCACCATAAGTTAACGTGTAACTTCAGTGATTGTCCAATGGGAGCCTCCAAATCGTGGCGCGTCTGCCTTTGTGACGAAGTCACTTACGAACCGGATAGACTTCAGCCCTCTTCTGCACTGAGGCAACACATGGATAAACCATTAGTTACCTGCAAAGCTCTGATATTTTTGCAACATACTGGTTTACAAGTGCAACTCAAAGTATAAAACTAGTTTGCAGACTGAATAGGTGACAACATTTCTATCTACAAATAAAAGCTTATATCTCTGAAATGTAGCACTGGGCATGATTCTTAATGGAGCCAAACACAGATCCTCCCTCTAACCTGATGCCCTTCATGTCCCTGTACAGGACCTTGTTCAGCATGAAGTGGGCATCATCCGGCGTTGAGGCAACGTAGCGCAGGCATGTGGGACCACGGGCAGGGTAAGAATCGTTGCGCTCCAGCATGGCGATGTTGGCACTGATGCGCTTGCCTCGTCCATGTTGCTCAGCATCCTGGAAAAAAATTCATTGCAGAAACGACTGTCATATAAAATAACCGCCCCCCCAATTTGCATTTAATTTTAGATTTTTGTTTCATCGAAAGATGGGTTTGGTCATTTTCAGTTTTTAATTTTGGTCATGTTTTCTGATGTTAAATCAATTGACTTCCATGGTAGAATTTAGCTGTTAACTTGGCTCAAAACCTTTCAAATGCAGAGGAGCCTACTGGTAAAATCTAAAGAGGGAATTCCCCGTAGTTTTGCCATCTCAAGATTTTACTCTTTTTGTTAATCAGGAGGCATTTTTATTATTATTGTTTTACTCAGAATCACCCATACTTTATTTCTGAAATTCCAAACAAACTAGTGAACATGCTTAATCTCATGTTTACCTTGAAGAGGGAATTGAAGACACACTTAAAGACAGGTTGCAGGCTGGCACCGCTGGTCTCTGCTGATGACATGATCATGTTCAACCACTTCTTACGAGCTTGGCCTCGGATACGCTCTTCATATGACCTCTGCATAAATACAGATCTCAATATCACACTTACTCTGATTTAAGTTCTATTTATGCCATATCTTTTTAAATCACATTTATGCATCCAAAATGCTCAACAATGTGAACGGAGTATGTCTAACTGCAACATCAAATAATTTTCCTTCTGCAAAATCTCCTCTGATACTTTATAAATCAAATATTTACAGCTATTCAAAGGCAAAAATGGCAACACGTTACACGTTACACACGTTACCACTTCTGTAAAAAAAAAATTCCCGTCTTTTTTTTTCTTTTTCAAGAATCACATAAGTGAATCACTAATGTATTAAGGGCATGATACATTTAAGATTGGAAGGGGGTAGCAAGCGCCAATTTTAATGAAATGAACTGTGGAAGCAGGCAGAGAAGCCAATCCTACTGTTGGGATGACGCTGGAAATATTTCCAACCTCAAATCAGAGCCAGGCTATCGTACCTCGATGCTGGTCATGAGGAACTCCACCAGGGGATCAAAGTTATCCTCTCCTCCAGGCAGCATGGAGCAGACTGCCTCGATGTATGTCTTGAACTCCCTCTTGCTCAGCCGATTGTCGTACTCTTCCTTCATCATGATCATTTTAGCTGAACAAAGTAAAACCGCAAAATTAACCTTGGCGTCAGAGTTTTTGGGAGGATGTGAGTCCATGAACATTTAATGAATAGTGTACCAAAATGTGATGATGTAAACTGTCTTTGTTCGGGTTTGTGCCATCCATGAGAACCAGAAAAAACACTTCCGTACTTTGTGTCCCAAAAACTTAGAACTTGTTTGCAGTGATTTGAAGATTTCAATGGTAATCCAAATAGAAGCAGATACCATGTAATTATTGAAGTGTTCACCGCCGACAAGCTGGCTCTGAACAGTGTCATAAAAAAAACAACCTGTGAGAGTGTTATGATCCACAGAAGAGTGCTTTCAGAAGCATTTTCATTCGACACCAATTTCTTCACAGAAGAGACAGATGTTCACAGGATGCTATCCACAAACCTTTATTTCTGATAAAAATCAGGTCCTTCAGGATGAACGACCCTCCAAACCATTCAAGCAATCCGAACTTTTCAAGACCACGGCTGTATGTGCTCAGAAGATTCTCTCACCTTTTTGCATGATCTTGGCCTCCATGTTCTCCTTGAATTTACTCATGACGGAGTGGATCTCCTCCAGGTCCAGATATCCAGACCCGTCATTGTCCCACTTCTCAAACAGCTGCTCCAGCATCAGCTTGCGCTTGGCCGACTGGGCCTCGCGACGTGACTAATGATGAAACCAACCAAAACATTACTATTCACCCATCTTATAATGTCTGATTAGCACTGAAGGTGTGAAGAGCAATCACTGAGCTAACACTTAAATACTTCAATAGCAAAATGTTCCCCAAACTTATCATTAATAATGTAATAGCTTGAAAGATACTGTTTCAAAGCGAATATCCAAGGATATTTGGGTAAAATCTAAATGTCATTTCCTGAGATTTCTGGTTTTCCCTGAAAAGCTCATAACAAAAAAAATTTTCTCACATAAATACTACCACCATTCAAAAATGGTAAATAATTTGATTTTGCCGAATGAAATTTGTCCCTACTAATCCCCTGTGTATTTTATTTTTATTAACTCCATAGAACTGGTCACAGCTCTAGTGTTAGAGGCGATAAAATATCCATTCACACAAACCCTGCTAAGTGCAACAGAATGCAACAGTGGCCAATAGTGGTTGAATTTACACTGTATTAATCAACTAGACAAGCAGAGAATGCTGTGTACAGGAATAATGGCTCTCAGCTGTGTTGGATTTTGTCACACTACAAAGCAAGTTGCATAATAAAACCTGAAAGCTGGCTCGGGCCTGAAAAATTTTTTAGAAATTTAACCTCAAACTTTACATATCATACCTTCTGCAAGCGCAGGTATTTCTCCTCTTCGGTCTCAATGTAGCCCTCCTCCAGATACTTGAGGAGCTGCTGGACCACCTCCTCAGGTGGGCTCTCGCCTAGGAAGGCCTCTACGATCTGAACAAACTGGGAGCAGTTCAGAACATTCTCATCAAAGATGCTGGTGGCCACCGAGCCGCAGCGATGAGAGGTAGGGGTCTTGGTAGGCGACTTGATGGAACTGTGGTCTAGAGTTGGAGAAATTCAAAGGATTAGACCTACATGAAGGTGATGTATGCGACATAAATGTGGGTAGCAGGGGACTAGATGCGACAGGATAAAGGCTATAAAGCCTAGATATGGTTCAATTCAAAAGGTTGTATCAGAAGATACACCTGTCATATCAATTAAAGTAACTTAATTCCCTTTCGAGTTATATTGTGACTGTATTAATCATTAATTTTTAAGGGAATTCACATCTGCATTCAGTTTATAATTTTTTCAGAAAAATCTGTGGGGTATTTGGACAACCTGTTAAAAGAAGAAAGCATTTTTGTGTTTGGAGGCACCTTATGCGAATATCAAATTTTCCAAGTTGTACATGACAAGGACCTTGATTCCATAACAAACTGACATGATTGACAACTGTTACAAACCAATGTACCTGATTTTCCTGTTGTCTCTGCCGTGTCTCTATGGAATGTGACACCTTGCTTTTCACCTTCAGGGCCAGTCTCAGGAGCAGCTTCTAAATGGCGAGAATCAATTCAAATAAGTCACTGCCTATTTCTCACTCAGTCCTTTGCTTTTAAACACACATTCAAGAAAGAAGGAATCAGCATAACTTTGTAATGTTATCACAGTTCACCAACTTTGCCAGTGTAAAAGAAATATGAACCTTTTTCTTCAGCTGGTTCTGATTTAATGATCTGTGGCCCTTCTGCAACCTGTTCCTCGCTCTTTACAGCTTCAGTGGCAGAGGTATCAACAACTTCAGCAGGAGCTGCAGCTGCATCAACAGTGGGCTCTTCAGCAGGGACAGATTCGCTGGCAGGTTCGGCCGGTTCTTGTTCTGTTGCTGGCTCTTGCACAGCAGAAGGCTCCTCAACTGCCTTGGTGGAAGGCTCAGCCACTGGCTCGGTTTCCTGTTCTGCAGATTCATCAACAGGTTTTGTAGGAGGTTCCTCGACCGACTCTGTGGGAGGCTCCTCCACTGGCTTGGTAGAAGGCTCTGCCTCAGGTTCGGCTTTCTGTTCTGCAGACTCAGCAACAGGCCCTGCAGAAGGTTCCTCAACATGGTCTGCAGAAGGCTCCTCAACTGGCTCGTCTGCCTGTTGGACTGCCTCTGCAACCTGTTCAGCAGCTTCCTCTTTGGTCTCAGCTGGTTGGTCTTCTTTTTGGTCTGCAGACGGTTCAGCAGTCTGGTCAACAGCCTTTGCTTCTTCGCCTTCTGCTGCAATGGGTTCTTCAGCTTGTACTTCAGGCTTAGTCTCCTCTACTGTCTCTCCTGCAGACTCTGCAGCTTCTGTGTCAACTACTGGTTCCTTCTCTTCTGCTTTGGTTTCATCAGTAAACTTCTCCTAAAGAAATAAACATAAAAACTATGATAAAATTGAACTTTTCTTCTGATATAAGGGACAGCACTGAGTTTTATAACAAGGTTTTAGAAATTTTGTCTGCGATGTGTCAACAGTTTTTAAAACAACACGTGCCGTTTACAAACAAAATAACAACAGACAAATAACAGAGATATGAAATTTCAAAAAAAATTAACCTAAAGATCAAAAATGATAAAAAGAAATAAAAGAAATGGAATAAAAATTAAAAAAGCAGTAATTACCTCTTCTTGCTTTTCTGCGGCACCTTCCTCTTCTTCTGGAACTTTTTCCAGAGCTTCAGTTCCCTCTTCTGATGGACCTCCAATGTTCAATATCTCCCCCGTCGCAGATATGACATCTTCAGAGCTTACTTCAGCAGGTGCTTCTTCAGGGGCCTGCTGCTCAGGTTTCTTCCCCTCAGGGGTGGGTGGTTTCTGATCCAGCCCCTTGGCAATGCTGCTGGGCGCTGGAGTACTAGGCACACTGCGCACCATGCTGTCCTCAGAGATGCTGTCCAGCTCATCAGAGACTTCGTCAAGCTCAACCACTGGCCCTGGAATAACCAAGAAATGAAACACCTAAACACTATCTGTAACAACTTGTCCTTTGCATTAATGAATGATACTGACACTGATATTTTTGTCTGTAGCTGTGGGCCTCAAGCTGGACCAAGAGAGGGCGCTATTTCCTCAGCAAAGGAGGCTCCTTTGGTACTAATTGCGCATTGTCGGTTCACGAGCGACTAGGAAATGCCCGCATTGCAGTCACATCGCAACCAACAGAATGAATGCTCCCAACCAATGCGGCTCTTTTATTCCAATAAGGAGGTGCTTCGATCTGCTTAGGCAAGATCCAAAGCCGCAGCCATGAAATACCTGATTCCAATGTGGTTCAGTAGTGAATGTGAAGGTCCAGTAATTTTCAAAACCTTTTAAGACTCTTTTTGTGACTTACTTGTGTAGGGTTAAACTTTCTCTCATGACAGGCCAGATGTCAAATGATCTCTAAAGAATATTTTATGGGTTATTTGGGCAATGTGCCAATTAATGTCCCACATTTCTAACTTTATTATTCAAAATTCCTTGTTTGTAAACTACATGAATAAATTTTATCGAGGGTTTAATTTTTTCTGGACATCCTATTCTAATGGGTCAATCTGGGTCCAAAAAATGGTACCGCTAATTGGTGCATAAAAATCTGTGCTTAGCAGAGAAGGTTTCATTCAGTTTCATAGTCTTCATTGTTTGCCGTTAATCTTCTGGGACACAAAAGCCAAAGTGACATTATTGTTGTAGCAAGGTTAACAGAACTAGCCAAACAAATTATCTTGTTATAACCAAAACCAATCAAGGGACTGGAAAACCGAAAAAAAAAAACACGACTACAAGACTCGGGATTCCACAATTCAGTCCTACATAATTGTCTATTGCAATTGAAGAGTCTGGGACCATACCCCCCCGGAACACTTTTCTTTACTTACATTTTCTGGGGTTACGAAGATACCGCTTGACAGCCCATGGCGAATTGTCCCAAAAGTGCTCAAACAAACCCAACACCCGGTGCCGGTCAATGACCCCAACCCCGGCACGGTCGCATATGTCGAAGAGCTTGGTCAAGATATCGCGCCTTGCCTCTAAGATGGCCGCCCGCCTATATGCAGCGGCACAGCGTTGGAGGTGCACCAGGAGCTCGTTGAAAAGTCTGGGAGTCATGTTGGTGATGTACTGCTTCAGGTACTGTATAGGAACGTGCGAAAGGAAAAAAATGTGCTTGATGAAGTTGACAGTCTTCTTTCTCACAGTGAAGAAATTAATAGAATCTGAGCAACAATTTAACACAGAGGAAAAATCAAAACTGCAGTGAAAAAAACAAGTTGTCCGAATTGCTCATTTCAAAGATTTCATTTTAGAGTGGGAGGATCGAATCCAAATTTCAAATGCTTACTTGAACAAAATCATCCGCGCCAACTTTCTCTGTGGAGGCCTCCTTCTTGATGAACATTTCACTCAGTTCAGCAGCTGAAATGCAAGAATTAACACAAGCAGAAAAATATGAAGACATTTTGAAATTTGAAAATTCTAAAAAGAATCAAAGTGTAGGATTCACTTACACACTGGCAATCATTTCCGGAAGCAATAGGGTCTGCCTTATCTACCCTTGAGAATATGTCAAAGTTGGATCAGGGCCAAGTTTAATTGGGGATCACTAATAAACAGCTGGTAAATTCTGCCTGGTAGCCAGGATGCATGTTGTACATAGGTTACCAGCCAAAACTTGACCAATAGTTGACAAATGATTCCTGATTGAACTTGGCCTGGGCAAAGTTTTCAGCTACCGTTTTACTGTGTGGTGGAAAGGTTATTAAATATTGGTCATTTGGTCTTGAATAAAAAAAAAAAACAATGATAAACACCTGCAGGCATCCTGATTTCAGGAACTCTGAGATCAAAATGTTTGGAGTGGCAGACTTTGGGGAACTATTTCCGTCCTCTAAAGATACGCTAACCTTACATACCTAGTGTGGACTTGTGAACAAAAGATGTCCACACGAAGCAGGAAAGGAAAACATTCTGTGGACTTACACACATCCACAGGACGTTTCCCCTTCTCTGAAAAAGAAGTTTAGAGGCATTTTGGGGTAGGGGTCAGGAAGAGGAATAGTCAAGGAAACCTTGTGCAAAAAGGCAGCTGAAAATCATGTTCCAAGTTCAAGAAAAATGAGTATTTTCACCCAGTTTTCTTAACTGCACGAAAAGAAAGGAATGTCCATAGTAGGTATGTAAGGTAAGTGTGGGTTTAAAACAAGTTGTAAAGTTCAGTAGATGTTAAGTTAACTGGTTCATCTCAGCACTGCACTAAACAACTCATGACAGAGATGCACAAGATGCAATGATTGAGTTTTTTCCTGACCTTTTTGGTCATCATCTGGCAGTCCCTCCAGCACCTCAGCAAAGGACTGTACAGTCGTCTGCAAGACCTGCATCTCAATCAACCCATCGTCATCGATCAGCCATTCCTGATAGTTCTGGCGCAGCCGGGCTGATCGCTGCTGTCTCTCTTGATTTCTCAGCCTGGCCTGCCGCTCCTGCTCCTCCCGACGGCGTCGTGCGTCGGCTTTGATTTTGGCAAGTCTGAGACGGCAAATTCAATGGCCAAACAATGTTTTTTATCAGGGGGGACATTTCGGTTTGTCATCCAACATTTTCCTTATTTGCCCAGGCTAGTACAAACTGGATGTGCTGAATCCAATTTTGCAGAAGACAACGAAGTAATCAACTTCATTAACAACCTATCCTATTTTTAACAGTAAATACACTGCAAACAAACAGTGCATACCTTTGGTAGAAATATTTGAAATTTTGCATGAGTCAGCTATTGTGACCTATAGACAGATTAAAAGCTGATGAAGTCCGAGAACTTTTGTTCCTTTTTTTATCAACTTTTTTTTACAAAAACTGCAGCCAAACATCAAATATTCACCCCCTTGATCCTATCAAGATTTCTTCGCCTCCAGTGGTTTAAGTGTACATTTTCTTCGGCCGTCTTCAAAACTTATTTTAGTGTTAGTGTGCATCATTCCTCATACACTTGAGGGGATAAGGCCTTCTTAAGATAAGTTTGGCAGTCATACCTGTTGTCTTCAAATGAGAAGACGTGTTTTTTCAATTCCTCTGTGACCTCTCGCAGTCCTCTGATATATGGCGAAGCCTCTGGGAAATTACTGTACCGTGGGTTGTTTCTCATCAGGTACTGCGCCAGGAAATTGATGGGGTTGAAGTTGGGGTTGGCCTGATTGCTCTCTGTCAGGCCCCTTTTCTCTGCCTCCATGAGCAGTTTCTCAATGCCCAAGATCAACGTCGGGAGGAGTTTATCGAGGAGGTATGCACGGGCGTCAACTGTGACATGGTTGTCGTTTAGCCACTCCAAGGCCAGCGTGTCCACTGGGATACGTCTCGCCAGACGTTGCTTCTCCTCCCGGACCGTCTCCACATGGAGCTTCTTTTCTTCCTTCATTTGCAGGTACCTCTCTCGCACCCGCTGCTCATGGAATCTCTTCCAGCGCCGGACGGCTGATTTCACCATCGGCATCAGGAAGTCGGCCATCTCGGTCTTCTCACGCAGGGAGCGCACTGACGGGGGCCGCTCACGGACAGGACTGACGGTCCCATCTGATGAACGGCCTGGGGGGTGTGGCACACGCCCCCCGGAGCCTTGCCGAGAGTGTGGACGGGGACTTTCCGCGACCTGAAAGCCCACACGTGAGGAGGGCCGGGAATTTCCTCGAGATGGAGGTCTTGGGTCTGAATAAGTTCTGCGGCCCATGCCCGCTGACCCTGGAAGGGGACTCACAGTCTCGACATTTGCCATAGTTCAACCACCTACCATTAACACCCCAAAAGAAAAAATACAGATATCTTTGAACAAAATGAGGATAATTAAAACAAAGCGTAATGTAATTGCAATTTTGAATATGCTAGATGAAAATTTCAAATTCATTTTTTAGTTTTTATTTTTTTATCAGAGACAGCACAAATGCATGCCATTTATCTGGGACTAATATGACACCGAACTGAGTTGACTTAGGACCAAGTGGAACAAGGATCGCATTTGTTTGAGACCAAGGATTTTCAAGTTAACTTGAAAGCATATGCCCTACACAGCATGAGAACATTCTCCTGTCTCACCCCAATTATATAGCACTGTCCCAATGCCAACTACTAATGCTATGATGGGGAGGCAACATCCCCAGTATCTTCAGTGCTGCTGCAGCCTCAGAAAACTATTCCATATACAGATACATGTACCACTAATTTTTCCCTGCAGTGACCTTTCAGCCACCTGAAAGCAACAAAATGTTCTAAAACGTCAATTTCGACGTGAAAGTATTTAGATATTCACTCAAAAAGCCCTTAGAATTTTTCTGACCAGTCTCACAGTATTTGTGCACAAGGCGTCAAGCAGTATATTGAATCCTTTCCCAGCCTAACATTGCCTGCATGTTGGGCGCGGTTGGTTGATCTGCACAGTCACTCAATCTTTGCATTTCTGTTGAACTCACTGCGTGATTTGCTGATGAATCTGCCATCAGCCAATCATATTTTCTTTCCTTTCGCGGCTGTGGAAGATTATTTTGAAAAGGGGAAGTAAAGTCGAAGATTTCATATAGCACCGACTAAAACAAGAGTTTTAGTCATAACACAATGCGCAGTGTGCTATCACTATCACTTTTCTCGCGATCATGTTGATTGACTGATCGCGCCCATCATTTTACACTGTTGATGTACCCTAACATGTATGGTGCGGCCCCTAACACAGTGCACTTCATTCCATTTTTTGCCTAAAGGCCCAACTAGTTGGTGCTTTACGTGAGAAATACTTTCACTTCAAATTCCATAAGTTGAATTTCATTAAGCTCTCACTATTCCTGTGCATGAATGTGATGTTTAAATACACACTACAAATTTCCAGCGAAATTGTATTTTGACCTGATTCTGATTTTTTTCTGGGGCAGAGAGGCGAGGTGCACAACGAACTCAAATGTGCAAAAACTAAGAAATTAATTTTATTCTAAACTTGCAGCTGGGTATGCTAGTAAGTGGGTAGAATTTACCAACTTTATGAATCGTAATATGGGATAAGATTTGTTCATGCTACAGGCGGGATAGGTACCTCTCAGTTTCTCTCATCAGAATCGTGAGGAAATTCAATTGAAAAAGGAAAGTCTGTGTCACTGGTCATGACACCTCAAAGGTTGGATTGAAAAGAACAGATAGGACTAGTGTTACGACCTTGTGTAAATAAAAAAGTCTACACAGATTTCAAATAGGCATATGCACAACCTAATAAAACTGCTCAGGTAAAATAGTTCAAATTAAGGCTGGTTCATACTTCGTGTGAAAGCAAAAATGGAGGCCAATTTCTGACGTCAAATCACATATTCGCACGGCGAATTTGCAAAAGTTGAACTCATTTCAACTTGAGTGAAATTTTGCCACAAATCTTTCATGACATCAGCTTCACTTTGCTTTCACTTGTAATATCCCCTTAATCCTCTTCTCCCCTTTTCGAAATTTGTACGCAATAGTTATTTCCCCTCTGTTCATGCCTTGCCAGGCCTCTCCAAGGCTCTCCCCTTGCTTTCTTGCCTGTGTCCTGGGTCGGACGTTCTCTTATTGCATTTAAAAATAATTTTAGTGTCTTTTCTTGGTGGTCTTTTGTTAAACGGTGTAATTGGTCTATATCTGTAAACTTCTTCTTTCTGAGCTTTTGATGTTTCTTATGAACAGTTGATGCCAATAAAGGTATTTCGAAGACTCAGACCTAGGCCTGGCGTTAATGATGTCGGGGCCTAGGCCTAATTATAATGATTAAAATCAAGTTATACTGCCAGGACTGGATATACCTTTCGTTCAGCCTTGGCTCTCAATTTACAGTGAATAATGTACTTAATTACTCACCTGAATTTAATCTTTATGAACTAGACCTACTACAAAATGCAGGGTAAATCACATTTTGGGGAAGATCGTCTCACAGAAGATGAAAACATGGTACGTAGGTTATACAAGTACTTATGATAAGACCTGTAGACGATCAAGATCGCTTGTCCCATCGCGCGCGCGTACGCCAAGCAAGCTAGCCAGCTTCCCGTTTCCCTGTTGCTATGGTGCGAAATGAGCATGTCTGCTGACCCCTATGAATATGCAGTTTACATATGAGGGCTACATATAACCTTTGACCTACATAAACAGACTGAAATATCCCTGGTTGCCATTGTAAGCTAATGACAGCTTTACATTTTTGCTGATAAGAAGTCGGGAACCAGTGACACGTTCCACCCAGGAAGCCGGAATCTCGTCTGAAGTTGCCCCTAAACACGTCAATTTTTTTGTCTTTATCGAATAAAATATGTGAAGGTGACCGCTCATAATTAGAAGAACTTTATCTGGCTACGAGAATCTGAAGAATGGCCCTTGTGACCGTGCAGCGCTCACCCTCAAACAGCAACTCAAGCTCCACCATTTCGGTAAGTAGATGCAACATCATGCACTTGAACATGTTGAACGCTGAGGAAAGAAGATCTCAATCTGAATCTCAGCAGAAGGTTGACAGGGCATCACCGCACGGCGTCATTATCCAGATCAGTACATAAACCGTAGAGCGAGGAAACACATGAAATAAAGGATATGAAAACAGTCATGACAGTGAATATTTTGACCCCTCCCCCCAAAAAGTCACCCTTTCCTTTGTTCAGTATTACTAGTACTTGAGGCCTCAATCTTGTTTTCTGCATATCATGTTATACATGTAACTTATAAGCGTCCTGAACTACATAAAAAGGTCATTGGTCAATTGCTTTTTCTGTGACTTCGGGCGGGTAGTGAGAGTCAACTACAGCAACTCCGAACACGCAATTTATTTTACACGTTTTTGAACAACCCTAAGAAAGAAATATCCCCGCAAAACATTAATCTGTTTCCATTTTATTACATATTCCAATTTAAGACATTGTGTTCACAGTGTGAAAAAATGACGAATTGTTGCATTATGGATTTGGGATTTAAATATGGACAAACTTAACATTTTAAAGCTTACCAGAAGAAGAAAATTTTGTGGTATTCCACAGAGACTGGTTTTTGTCTTGGACTACGATTCTGAATATTATTTAGCTACATGTACATGTAGTCTGAGCTCAATAAGTCCTCTGACTCTTTGTTCCCTCAACAGATCTCTTGTTTAATCATGACGAACAATGATCACACAACATCTGAAATTAAATCAGAAAGATTTGTACATGTATAGCATGCATGCTATGCTAAGGCCTCATGAAAGAAATACATTGTAGCTACATGTACATGTATACTGTTCTCTATTGGCCAATCTGAATTACAACTTGAGGCTCATTCTTTCCGCATTGACCAGTCAGGTTTATTTTTCAGCCTCAAGTGACTTTGCCCTTATTAAAAAAAAGAAATTTAAGGGTAATTATTTTCTTCGTACAACCTGTTGAGAATTTATTTGTTATTTTGAAATGTGTCTTGTAAACTCCCTGCATATTCTGTCACTTGATGAGCAGGTTTGGGATATATTCTGAAGAAGATATAAATTGATGTGTGAATGGTTTACTACCTCCATGTAGATTCATGCATAAAATGCACGGCTTATTTGAAATTCAGTCCCATATTATGCGATGAGAATGTCAGCAAGGTTTATTGCTTAATTCCCCCTTTGGAGTGGGTGGTTTATGTGGTATAATAAGTTAGGCAGCCAGCCTTTATAAATGTGCCTGATTACGGTTTGATCTCCCGGTCAGATTGGTAGATTTTTCAGATTTTTCCCCTTACCCCAAAAGGTGAAATATTAAACTGTCATGATTTAAAGTAAATCCCATGCGAAGAGGATTTTTTGGAGGATGAAAAGTTTGAAATACACACCATCTGCATTCCACATTTACAAGTTCAGAGTGACAGTGTAAGCATAGAACGAGATGAAGACTTGTGGTAAAAATGCTACATGTACATGTAAGTACCCCAAAACACTCTGGACCATGAGCCAAGGTCAAACAAATATCAACTGCCTTAACATTCCAGTTGGTACTGGTAACATGCTAGTCTACATGTACCGGTAGGTGAACAGGGTCATGGCAATCCTGACAGATGCTTATCCTGAGGCTGCTATTCTGTTGATTAAACTTACATGTACCTCCTTATCTACTCAGTGTCCTTTACCTTTCCTTTTTTCCCAATTCTAGATGATTTACTATTTTTTGTCCTGTCCATGGTACTGGTATTTTGCAAATTTATTTTTTTAAATAAAGAAATGAAACAATGGATATTAATTGTAATCAGTAACATACACATACACATGTAACAACTGGGATATTCTTCTCTCCCTAATCCTGCGAATTGCAGCAAATTGCAACAGGTGTTAAAGTCTGGTAAACTTTCTGGCAATCAACAGCAGAGCTCTGCATATACCTCTGCCTATGTACATGTATGTATGTGATAGTCCTATTAAACAATGCCACTTTTGGGGATCCTGTGATGTCTGACAGCCTCAGACTTGGGGGGGGGCTGTCTTGCACCTTTGAGGGATACAGTAGTTGACCTGTTGATCTCTTTGCACTCATAAGGTAAGTAACTTTAGCAAATCATGCACATTGAAGCATATTGAAGGGTTTTATTTTATATTTGATTTATTTTTTAGTTCAAATACCAGAAAGGTTGGGGTGATGAGGGGGTCATACTCAATTAATAAATATTTTGCCATTTTCGCTAGGTGAGTGTAATTGTGGCCTAACTCGTCCTGCTTTCAACCAACCAAAGAACTTTCCTATCACAAAAAAAGTACCTTTGCATCTATTAGTGATGTGCTTCACCAACATTTACATTTATTTCCCTCAAATTTTCAAACCATGTACCCTCTTTGCACACACATCATCTACCAATCTAGTACTGCCATGTATGATGTCAGTTACTTTTTTTTGTTCTCTTAAAAAAGTTTTAAAAACAAATAAGGTTGAACATTTGTAAGGCCCCAAAATTTTAGCAACTCTTTGATGCTCTTTCTGATTTTCCACCTGGTTTTCTAGAATCAAGCATTTTGAATATTGAATAGTCCACTGAGCTTTGACGGTGAAAAAATATATCATTGTACTATTTGTGATAATATTTATATTTAAGAACCACTCAATGAATTTTTTTATAATAGAAAGTAGGTTTGCGGTAGCACCATGGACGTATCTCTTTTGTGAGTATTTGCGGTTCTGAAAAGAACCAGTGGTACTTGGCGTTTCGAGCAGTATGCTCTGCTCGTCATCGGGAATTTTTCTTTGTTTCACTTTATACATCTTTATATTCTTCTTCAGAGTATGAAAACCGTTTTAAGCACTGTTGAGGTACAATGAACAAGTGTACTGAAAAGGGCACTTTTCCAACATGAAATTGTCCAAGCATTCCCAGACAAGTGAGGGCGCTGTTGCTGTGATGTGAGTCAGGGAAGACACTTTCCAGTTTGCATGTTAGTGTGTTCAAATGTAAACCCCAAATTTTGCTCTTTGGAAACAGTTCTGAGAAAGGGTCACTCACTGGCTTACTGAGTGACACAGATGTACAGTACATGGTGTACATACAGTGTATGTACAGTACATGTACGTTTATATGTTGGTACGTTTATATGTTGGTCCCTAAATCTCCATTTGAAATAACACAATCACACACTATAGTGGTAAGGACTGCATAGATATATTGGTAGTTGTCAAACAATCCTAAACATTATGAGGACACCCCCCAAAAAATGAAGACATGTATCAATCCGAAGGGTCTTGTGCAAATTTCTTTTAAAAAAAAAGACTGAAAGAATTGTCTCTTACATGCAATGGTGGTAGAGCTACCTGTATTTCTTACCAAAAAAGCCTTTGTACTTGTTAAGGTCTGTTTGCTTCACAGTGTTACAGGTACATGTATTGTACCAACATTACTATGGAGCTGGAGTATTGTTTGCCTGATCCTGCTTACCATCAGTGCAGTAATCATGTATACCAGTACATGTAGGATGTGCATGTCGCGCTCACTTTTTTGTGACCCTGGAGCAGCAGTTACCTAAATTCCCTTGGGAGGTTACTGGGCTTATTATACCTGTTGCAGAACTTGCAGACAGTCCTTTTGTTGTGTCTGTTCTGTTACGCAAAGGCTTGGGGGATACTCTCCACAGACCTTTTACTACATGCACATGTAGCTGAATAGAGAATAGACCACGTCGGATCTTTTGTCTAAAATTATGAGCTGACAGCGAGTTAGAAAGTTTCTCCTGTTAAGAAGATTCAACTGGTCATGATTGATAGAATGTGTGTTTTTATCAGTGTATGGACTTGTCCTCCACAATCTCACTTTCCAATGCTTTCTTAGCTCAGTTCCGCTTTAAAAATTAGAAAATGCCCCAGTCACTTGCCAGGTTGGCACCAGACCAAGTATTTGGTCATTCCATCAGGGCAGTATCCTGACACCTCAGTCTGTCAAGCTCACTTAAGCCTCATCGGTAGGATTCAGGCCAAGAACAGTCCCATCAACGTTACAGTAATCCAGTACTAGTACATTGTACATGTTCTGGAAATGGTATGTGTTTTGCGGCTGTGATACTTACAAGGTATTCTACATGTACATGTACTTGGACTTACATTGTACACATGTACCGTAATATATGGGTCGTAGGAGTGCATGTATTGGGCTTGAGAGAGTGAATGATGCCTATGCTTCTTTTTTTTTTACACATTTTACGCATTTCCTACTGGTGCATGCAGGAATTGATCTTGTAAATGATTGATGAATATCATGTTCGGTGTACATGTACACATAATTGGTATTTTAAACCAAGAATTCCCCTGCCTATTCAACTGTGAGGTGGCTCACCTCACTGATTTTGTTGACCACCTTGAATTCTACCACCTCACATTTAAAACAGACAAAGATTGAAGGAAAAAGGAAAATAATTTAGATGTTTGGAAATAAATCAATTTTAGATCATTCAGAAGGGTAAAAGGGGACACAGAATACAAGAGTGATTTATTTTAGAGAGGAAATTTAGAGTAAGTACATAGAATAGAATATAGAATTTATTTTAGGCCTTTTTGAAAACACTCGCTTTTGTTTC